TTCAATTTTTTTTAAATACAAATAATTTCTTCTTTTCTTTTCCAACGACAAATATATATTTGTAATCGTTTAATGGTTTGAGAACATCTTCGACATCATTGTAGTCAATATTTCCATCCATCCAGTCAAGACCATTTACATATTTCTTGCAATAAGCATTTGTTTTGCATGATTCTACTGTCAATCCTCTTGCATTGAAAGATGGTCGAAAAAAGAAATTATTTGGAACGACAGATGCACCACACATATATGATAGTTCTTTAATAAATATACCCTTGTGATTTCCGTGACAATACTGAAAATCCACCAATGCTATATCAGTTCGATCAATTTCGTGCATCTTCTTGGGTGTGTAAATTTTGACTGGATGAGTTTCTTCTCTAAATATTATATTTATTCATTTTCAACAAAAACTTTAAACAAATGTGGAATATTGATCTCTTCTTTAATTATTTGTTACATTTGATCTCAAGTAGTCTAATATTTCTTTTGGAGGTTGCAGATTTCCGAAACTATGATAATATTCAATCATATTTTTGATTTTGTAATATGCCACCCAATGTGATCCAGTTCCACTATAAACATCTAAATTTAGCATTCCACATTCTTTTATATATGGTTGTTTTGGTAATCTATCACGCATATAAACACCTCTAAAATGAGGTATATATACATATATGTCAGTGAGTGGTGCTTTAGGAAGCAGTTTTATTAGTTTTTTGATGAGTGATCCACATATATACCATATCCCTTCTTGTAAGGTTTAAGATAGAGGCCTTTACCCATTGCTATGGCTTCTATGGTTCTATTATGTCTAGTTTGCTCTTCCAGTTGTTGTTTTCCTTTCTTAGCATTCATAACAGCATTTGCAATTGCTGAACTACCTGATGCAAGGGCACCCAAAGCTCCAAGCCCTGTTAGAATTGGTATAAGTGGAAGAAATCCTCCTTTTTTGGAACCCTTATTAATCTAGGTATAACCACCTTTGACTTATTTCCATGAAATGACTTTTGAATTTCTTTCTTTGCTACTTTTATGGCTGCATTAAGGTCATTGGGTTTTATAGTTTTTAAAGTTGATGTTACATTTCTAACAGCGTTTTTAAAAATCTGTTGGCCTGATAGTTTTTTAGATTTTTTATTATCCAAACCCAGACCAAGCCTTGTTTTTGCCTTCGTAGTGTTCGTAACGAGATATGCACTAAGTTTCTCTCCAATACTACTATCTGTTGCTTTTACTCGTTCCCAGGCCCTTTCATCTACTTCTCGATCAGCAATATGTCGTTGCTCAAAATTTGTGTTTTGTGAATAAGCAATATCGTGTTTTCTACACGCTGAATCCAATGGATTAATACCTTTATCTCCCCTTTCCAATCGTTTCATAAGCTTTGTTCCGGGTCCACAAAATTTATAACCTGGTAGATGAAGCTCCACTGGTAAATTGTTTATAAATTTATTTACCAACTCTCCTCCTCTAACAGTTTTATCGCTAATAATTGCCATTTTGCTATAAACAATCATTTTATATCTTTTTTTAAGGGCCCCCCCCATTCGAATCTACACTAGTTCAAAAATGTCCCTACAAAATTTCATGTGAATATCTCAAGAACTCTAGAAGATATAGCCGATTTATTCTGTCAGCATCAAGTGACGGCTAAAGGGCTTCTCAAAATTTAAAAGCGTTTTTATCTAAACGAATGTCGGGCACGATAACTCAAAAACTAATAACCCAATCGATTCCAAAATTTTACACGTTTCTCTGTAAGTGTATAGCTATCGTATGAACTAGGATAAAGCTAATCGGTGAAGATCTTCCTTATTTTTAAACTTAGTTTTTGGTCAAAAATCGTCGATTTTCCAAAAATATTTTTTCAAAGGTCCGCCATTTTGTTAATTTTACAGCGAAGTCAATAATCCTAGTTCATACAAGAGCCAGACATGTACTCTTTCTACCACCGTTGGAATTTTCGGATTCCGATGTTCCATTGAGAAGTTATCATGCCCGCCATCAAAAATAAGGACTTTTCTTTAGTTACAAAAACAGCACAAATTTTTTGTGAATTATTTTTCTTCTCTTTTACATCTTCAAATATATATATGCAAAGTTACATACCTTAACAAGCATTGGTATTGATTTACCAGCCCTTTGAAAATCTTGAAAAATGAAAATCAAGAATGGGTGGGGTTCCCTTAAACAAACAAAAAAGAATAAATAGCCATTGTATATATAATAATTTGTCAGTTGTAAAATGCGATTAGTTGAGCAACAGACTAACATTTCCGTACAAAATGCGGATTTTACACAAAGGAAGATACCCAGACATAGTACTTTATTACCTAATACTATACGAGCCTTAATTGTTGGACCATCAAATTGTTTGAAGAATAATGTGATGCTTAGCTTGATAGAAAGTCCTAATGGATTAAAGTTTCACAATATTTACATATATTCAAAATCTCTATATCAACCGAAATATGAATATCTGAAGAAACTTATTTCATTCGTAAATGGTATGGGATTGTATACTTTCAGTAGTAATGATGATGTTATGAAACCTGAAGAACTAAACTCAGTTATGACATTTGATGATGTGGCTTGCGATAAGCAAAATAATATAAAAATCTACTTTAGTGTGGGTCGGCATAAACATGTTGACTATTTTCACCTATGTCAAACATATACACGCATTCCAAAGCATTTGGTGCGGGACAATGCTAATATGATTATATGACATTAATGAAATGTGTCGCGTGTGTTGGAAAGAAAAATATGGATTTCTAACATTGATATTGATAAAATATTCCTATTATAAGTAAATCCTTTTAGTATATTTGAAACCATGGAAAATGAAATGTTGAAACGCCTTGTTCACTCGCGAAATGTATTGAAAAAAAAGTGTCAAAGCATTAAAATGGGTGAGCAGGATAAGGCCGACAAATTGAAGAACACATTTAAACCTATTGTTTGCGTTGATGATTAGAATTTTTGACCAAACGTATATTTGGTTTTTTTTTATTGATATTTGTTCGTGGAACAATATAAAATTACCTTTTCTACAGGGTTTGATGATTTCTGGTCGTGAACCAAAGAACGAGTGATTGTATGAAAAGCTAAGAGGTCGCAAAGCGGCGCTTAGGCAAAGTTACTCGTTAGATTTTGCTACTACCTTTTGTCTTTAGTACGAAATACTCAAAGACGTATACAAAGGTAGTGAACAAAATCTAACGATGGGGTTACAATTTACTTTAATTAAAACTGAATTATATTTCAAATTAATCATTGCCGCCCGCGTTGCAACATCCAGCTATGTTGCAAAATTAATAAAGAACAGGTTTTATGTGTGTGTATATGTAGTTCTTTTTTTTATATTATTCAATTCCTTTTTCTTTTTTTTCAAAAAACAACTTATATTCTAAAAATAGTTTTGCTCTACGAGCAGGGTCGTGCAATGGCTCGTCAAGACCTAACCCGTAATTTTTTATTATTTTAAAACAAATGACTCGCCAAATCGTGCAGATAAGCAATTGAAGATTGCCCATCGCGTGTTATTTAAATACTACATGGACCCGTAATAACCCAACCAATAATGGTGAGCTGGGCCCATGGGAAACCAGGGCTCGAATAAGTCTGGTGCTTAAAAATTTTGGGATAGACTTCAGGGCCCAATACCATACTGACTGCAGCAGCTTCGTGAAACCGAGGATCGGCTAATTGCAGGCCAGCAAAGTGGTCTTTTATGCCAACGGACACAGACTGTGAGGGAGCGATAAGGTGCCCCAGATCGATCACTCGAGCCGACAAACTAATTTGCTGGGTGCCATCGTAAAATGATGCCACGGAAAACTGGCAGAACCTCTCCGGACCCACCATAACAAGGCATAGCTTAAGTCTATCAGCCAATGACCGACATATTAAACTCTGCCCAGCACATGGATCCAAGAGAGCTCTGACAGGAATTCTTTGACCATTTGACAACAGCTGCACCACCACCGTTGGTCCGAGTGTGGCTACGGTTTGGATGGCAGGTACGTTTTGCCGGTGAGTGAAAGATGGACCAGCAGTAGGAAGGGAAGTTGAAGCGGACGGACGTTTGGCAGTTCTACGCTTACGTAGGTTTTTCGACGGTTGGGCTGAATGGGAGTCGGGAACATTATTGTTGGGAGAAGACTGGTGGAGCAATGTATGGTGCTCCTTTTTTCATGTTTTGCACCTGTAACGACTGGAACAGTCGCGGATGGTGTGGTTAGTGGCCAAACAATTCCCACAGCATTTGTGAAAAGCCACCACCCTCAGTCTTCTCTCAACACTCATTGACCGAAACTTTTTGCACTCTCGCAAGTGGTGTTGGCCAGCGCAAACTATGCACGCTTTCTTCGAGCCCTGGTTCATTCGGCGGGGTGCCGAAAGAGGTGGCGACACCACCGGTTCTCCTGAAGGACCTTCAGGGACCGTCGACGACGGATTTTTATTGTTAATTTCCTCGGATGTAGGGGCAGATTTTTGGGACCCGGACAGCCTGGTGGGATTAGCCTTGGCGTCGAGCTCCCGTTCCTCATCAGACATGAGAATGTCATCGTCGAAGGTTAGGAGTACAGCAGCCATCATTCCTAAATTTTCCATCTTCTGTGAATAATAGAGAGGATGCTATAACACAACAACGAAGATTTAAATTTGTAAATATATAAAACCGTAGATCGTTTCATGAATAAACATTTTTTTCATTTTGCGAAAAAAATTAAAGAGTTTGTCCAAGACGACTCGAAATATGGGCCTTGACAATTATGGTAGCGCGACTAACTTAACAATCGGACGTCGTATAGTGCCGTTTTCCGTATATACCTCTGCCTCGACCATCAGAACCCGGGTGCACCTCGATTATACGTCTTAATTTCCACGAAGTGGGGGGAAGGTTTTCCTGACGTACTACAACTAAATCACCCTTTTGTAAATCGCGTTGCGGAAACTTCCATTTATATCTTTTGTGCAAACTCTTCAAGTACTCATCTTTCCACCGAAGGCAGAGTTGTTGAGTCAGAGCTTTCAGTTTCCGGAACCGATTCACCAGGGGGAGCTAGGATCGGAGATCCAATTAAAAACTGACCTGGGGTAAGTGCTACCGTATTTTGGAAGTCGTCGTTCATGGGACACAAAGGACGAGAATTTAAACAAGCTTCTATTCGGGAGAGTATCGTCGATAACTCTTCGAATGTGAATTTTAAGTTCTTAGCTTGTTTACGGAAATGAAGTTTAAAACTTTTTACAGCGGCTTCCCACAGGCCACCCATATGGGGAGCGCCGGCAGGTATAAATTGCCACGAAAGTTCTTGAAATTGATACTGGCAACACAAACCATTACGACATTCCTGCACTACGATTTTGAAATCTCGATCTAATTCTCTAGAAGCTCCAACGAAGTTGGTGCCGTTATCAGAGAAAATAGTTTTTGGACAGCCACGTCGGGATATGAAACGTTGGAAGGCTGCTAAAAATGTTGTCGTAGACAAATCAGAAGTAGCTTCCAGATGAATTGCTTTCGTACAAAAGCAAACAAACACACATACATAACCTTTCGTTATCTTTGTTAAGCGGCCGGTAAAGGATTTGAGGTCAAACGGACCAGCGAAATCAACACCAGTAGTGGTGAAAGGCCTTGTAAACGCTACTCTTTCCGGTGGAAGAGCGGCCATAATTTGAGAGCAGGAGCGGTTCTTAAATAAATAACAGGTTTTACAACGACTTATCGGGGGACCCTATCCAACAGCCTATGGTACTCATCTGGGAAATGCATTTTTTGAGCTATGACAGCTAGACGTAATCTAGTAGCTCTAAGCTCCGAACTGGTGAGGTTATCATCATTGTAAATGTAATTACCTCTATGTGCACGATGAGTGTTGTGGAAAAATCTATAAACGTAAGACAAGATTCGAAGAGCCTTGTCTAAAGTCGAAAACTTTCCTAAAATATCTTCAAAATTATCATTAAAAAATGAAGCGTGAACCTTGACTGTGCGCATTTCTACATCTGTGTCAAGGGGAGCACTGTGGGATATATCCCACTGAGAGCTATCTTGGCGTAGCCAGTGTGGTCCATGCCACCAAAGTTGTGATGAGGCTAGCTCAGAAGGCGAAACCCCCCGGCTGCCTAAATCAGCAGGATTTTCTTCAGAACGAACATGATGCCAACTGCTTACATCTGTAACATCTTGAATTTTATTGACACGTTTCGCAACAAATGTGGTCCATGTAGATGGAGTTTTGCTAAGCCATGCGAGGACGATCGTAGAATCAGTCCAACAAAATACCTTTTGGAATGAAATGTCGATTTCATTCCGAATGTTTTTTAATAATTCGGTTGCTAAAACGGCTCCACAAAGTTCTAACCGTGGTAAAGAAACTGACTTTAGGGGGGCTACTTTAGTTTGTATAAATATTTTTATTCGGAGTTATTATCAGAATATATATCACCCCCGCGTATGCCTTTTCTGAGGCGTCAGAAAAGACATGAAGTTCGGCGGAACAATCTGGCGTATAATGAACCCATCGAGGAATATGAATGGAATTCACATCCAGATAACAGTCCACGAAACTTCGCCATTCCCGTTCTGTCGTGGACAGAAGTTTATCATCCCAGCCGATTTTATCTGTCCAGATCTTCTGCATAACTATTTTTGCGGTTACAATTACTGGACCTAACCATCCTAATGGGTCGAATAGTTTGGCAATAGTGGACAATGTTTCACGTTTTGTATAGTGAACTTTTGTGGGAAGGGCGCTCACACTGAAATAAAACAAATCAAGCTGAGCATTCCATCTGATACCTAATGGCTTAGAACTGCTAGCTTCAATAAAGGAAAGGACCTTAGCATCGATTAAATCTTCCGTTGGAAGATTTTGCAAAATTGTACGGTCATTTGCTGTCCACTTTCTTAATTCAAATTTAGCGGATGAAAGGGCGGATATTAACTGATCGCGCGATTCTAATGCTGTACGTAAGTCATGATATCCTGTAAGTACGTCGTCAACGTACATGCACCTACGAAGTATGTGCGCAGCAAGCGGATATTCATCGTCAGTATCGTCTGCTAATTGTAAAAGCGTACGTATGGCCAAGTAGGGGGCGCAATTTACGCCAAATGTCACTGTTTGCAATTCAAAGTTCTGTACAGGTTTTTCAGGAGAATCCCGAAAAACAATACGTTGCAGTGGAGTATGGGCCGGATCGACACGTATTTGGCGGTACATCTGTGTGATGTCGCAATTAAAAACAAATTTAAAAAGTCTCCACCTAAGGATAAGCAGGGCTAAATCCAATTGCAGTGTGGGACCCACATGTAAAATGTCATTAAGACTTTTCCCGTTTGAAGTTTTATTCGAGGCGTTGAAAACCACTCGAAGTTTGGTAGTCTGTTTATCCGGATTAATTACTGGGTGGTGTGGCAAGTAACAAACCGTTGAGTTTGTTGTTGCGGCAACAACTGGCCTCATATGATCCAATTTCAAATATTCATTTACCACTTGATCGTAGACTACTTTAATTTGTGGTTTTCGAAGTAGGGATGCCTCGTTTCGAAAAAATTGTCGTAAACAATTGGTTCTTGAGAAACCCAAGTCCGACTGTCCAATTAAGTCATTTTTGAGGGGAAGGCTTACAACGTACCTACCGTCCGGATCACGATATGTGGTACGTTTATACAAAGATTCACATAATTGGTCAGAAGGGGACAATATTTGCCGTTTAGGCACTTGCTCTAGTTACCAAAAACGAAGAAGAATCTTGTCAATATTTTCTTCATCCGAAAAAGTCACCTTAGTGGAGAAGACCGGAACATTTTGAGGAGGAATAGGACCGCCGGAATAGGATCCAACCAAAGACCGTATTTTGCGCTATTAGAGATTCTACTATGTGGGTGTGAGTGCCCGGTAACAGGATCTTCGGATAAAGATCTGCTCCCAGCAAAAGGTCAACCGAACGACATTTGAATAAATTGGAATCTGCCAATGTCAGTATTGACAGTAAAAGAAGGCAGATTGCCGGAAATGTTAGGGAGAATAAGGGCAGTAGTTTCCATAGAAAACGAAGCGTCCAATGGAGATCTTATGCAAATCGAACATAATTTGCGTGACGTAGTCGATACTGTCTGATTAATCCCTCAAATAGTAGCCAATGTTGTGGACGATTGTATACCTAACAGATGTTGCAGTCGTTCTGTAATAAATGAAGCTTCTGAGGCGGGATCAATTAATGCTCTGGCAGGGTACATGATACCCTGATGAACGATGTTCACCATTGCCGTACCTAATAGGACGTTTCTACTCTGGGCGGTATGGAATACCTGTCTATTAGAAGAGCCTGACGTAATACCTGTAGAGGTGGATGGTTGATTTGGAGAAGCTATGTTCCTACTTTGGGAAATTGCTGCCGTCGAAGACGCACCAGCAATTGATGTATCTCTGTGTAACAGAGTATGATGCCTTTGATTACATCTGCTACAATTGTAAGGGCTACTACAATGTTTTACTAAATGCTTAGGGGATAGACAGTTTAAACAACAATTATATCTCCTAATGGTATTAAATCTTTCAGGAACTGAAAGTCTTAGAAATTGTTTGCATTCTCTGATATGATGCGTTTGTCGTGGACAAATAATACAAAAATTTTTGGAAGATGGTCTGGAAGGCTTAGACGAATTTGGAGGAAAATTAGGGGATCGATTCGTGCCAGCATTCGTAAAATGTGAACGAAACTTTTTACTACTAAGAGGTTTGACGTGGTCAATACCTCGAATGTCACGCAAGCAACTAAGAGTTTGGATGCGTTCCGTAAGAAAGTTATCCAAATCTTTCCAGGGAGACAAAGCCGACTTGTCTTTAACACTTTGTTCCCAAAGTGTGACACAATTTTTAGGAAGTCTCTGAATGCATAGGAACACTAGAATAGGGTCCCAATCTTCCGTAGAGACGTCATAGTTAGACATGGATGATATGCATCCATTTATACCCCTTTGCAATTTCTTTAAACCTGAAATAGTTTCACTATCTAAAACAGGCAAATCAAATAAGAGTTTAAGTTGGTGGTTCACCAATATACGTGGATTGTCGTAAGTTTGCTTAAGAGCTTTCCGCGCAAGACCGAAATTGTGGTGGGTAAGCGAAAACTTAGCCACAATTTCATGGGCGTCGCCACTGGTCTTTTTGTTTAAGTGACATAGGCGTTCAATGTCACTAATGCCGGAATTGTTAATATATACGGCTGAAAATAAATCCCTAAAGGTAGGCCAATTAAGGAAGTCACCATTAAAAACTTCAATATCACAGGGTGGTAAGTTTAGCCTATGAACAGAATTATCCTCGCCACCGGTTGACTGATGCGTAGCATTTAAATCTGCATGTGTAGAAGATGTAGGCGGAGCCCGAAGTTCATCTAATTTCCTATGGATAGCAGCGAGAACCCTAAGGAAACAATTGTATGCTACATCAAATTGGGTTTCAGCAGCAGTGAAGTCTTCCTAAGGCTATTCTGTTCTGTCAAATAATTGAGACATTTATCAAACATTGTTTCTACCTTGTCCCATAACTTTTGGACTTCAGCTCCCTGTAGTTCTAAAATATAGACATCGAGCTCTTCGTCCCGTGGGGAACTGAATTTGGCGTCAAATTTAACCAAAGCATCAGTAGCTCGGATGAATAAATATAGAGGGGTGACTGGCATTGTGAAATAGAGAAGTTAATTTCAGAAAAATATGGGGAAGTAAGAGTTTTCGTTGAAAACTATATTTTGTAGTAATAAATTGTCCAAATGGTAGCAATTACACCAAGTAATTTCTTCTGAGTTGTTTGAAAAACAATTGCAATGGATAAGCTTGCACGAAAATGCACAAAAGTATTAATACTTTAGAATATTTTGCACGAAATGCAATTAACTTGAAGATTTTGACACGTGATGTCAACAATTGTAAATGAAAATCTAAAAATAAATGAAGATTTGCAAAAGAAATTAGAAAATAGCACGTGATGCTGTGGATAAAATGTTGAAAATACACTGTATTTATAAAAAGTCGTGAACTTTTATCTTTATTGTATCGTGAATACAATAAAATGTGGTTTAACGTGATTAAAACCAGCAAAAATTTATAAGTTTTAAGAAAAAAAATTAAAATTCAACTAAAATTTCTTGCAGTGTATTTAGGTTTTCGTAATTTTTTTGCAGTGTATCGTATAATACCCCTGTCGTCAAATGAGTAGCTAACTACAAAAAAACCAATTTAAAGTTAGCTGGTATAGACTGGCTACAAAGCCACTACTACGCAATGCAAAAAAAATGTATGAAAATATCGGCGATCGGCCACCAACGCCTTTCAATTTAAACGGCGTAAATTTTAATGTACGCCTTGGAAGTGTAATTTTGTAAACAACAAATCCCGCGTTTAATTTGTCGATTGAAAGTCGTTTGTTTGTTTGTGAATAAAGTATTGTGATTTTATCTAAAGTTTTACATTGAGTTTTTAATTAAATGTAATAAATAATGTGGTTTGAACACACAATTTTTTTAATACAGAAGAAAAAAATGAATTATGAGAAGTGCGAGTAAACGACATTTGAGGCATAAAATAATCGTAACGACTATGTAAGTTTCATAATAACATTTCTGATTTTATTTATGTATCCATTAAATGATTTCTATTTACTCCACAGATAAATACAATGAGAACAATATTGAGGGGACGTTTGCCCTCACAGGGATAATGGCAAATAATTTGTGCACGGACATCAATTTAGAGGGGATTCATGGAAAAGCGTTTGAATGACTTTCCTTATGTTCTAACAGGTAAATCCTCATTTGAATATATATATATATATATATATATGATTTAAATCTAAAATCATATTCATGTTCATACATTTTTATCATTTAAACAGATGCCTGCCGATCCCTTGTTGCAAGAAGCGTTGCATCCACTCTAAGTGCATCCAAAACAAAATAGCTAAAACGAATAATTTATTTAATATTTTTAACAATTTTTTTATTTAAAATACAAATGTGCAAACTGATTTTTTCCATTCCTAAGATTTTTAAAACCAAAAACTAATATTAATTTTATTTTTATTATTAAACCGCAAATGTTTAAATAATTTTTAAAAATCTTTGTGATAAATGATGTGATCCTTGTTATGTTTTTTTATATTAATAAATTGTTGTTTTATAATAATGTAAATTTTTAAACCTCGTTTTATTTCAGCAAGATACAAATAGTGGCTTTTCACCTATCGTGCAAAAAACTAACTTTTCTCTGACTACAATTTGACTTACAAATAGTTAGTTTAAAAAAAATTAACTGAAAGCGTATTTAAACAAGTATATATATAGCTAACTGCAAAAAGTTAACTATAAGTTAACTGCTGGATAACTGACTATAAAGTTAACTGAAAGTAGTGCAAATTCGGACAATTGACTACTTCGTAGGACATCACAATGTTAAAATAGTCAGTTGGTTACAGGTAAAAAAGTCGATTTATCAACCACTACTAATTGAAAAAAAGTTAGTTTTCAATTAGTTTAAAGTTAGTTGAATGTACGACAGGGACACGACAACAATGACAATGTATCGAAGATAACTATTGCTCACAAAAATATTTTTGAAATATTATAAAGAGTCGAAAACTCGGAAAAATTCAAAAAATCACTAAAACTGATTGTAGGGTGCACGGACTGTAAAATGCACTCAAGCAATCGGTAGCGGACAACAACAAAATGTATTTTAAATCAAAAATATTTTCAAAATAAAAAAGTAAAATTTTTTTTTGATAAATATAATATGAGATGTTATATAAAATTAAATATATTTATATAAATAATGCCGAATATAGGGTGCACTCTATTGAAAACGTAATTAAAATTTATTTTTAGTTGATATCCGAAGGATTCAACTCAAAAAATACCGGAAAACAGCACTAAAATATTTTTATAAATATGCATACAATTTTTTGGGACGTGTGAACACCCCTAAGGAAACTGATCATATGTTTTCAGATAATGTGTCACATGTGATAGTGACGGGTGGCAACAATTAACAGAGATGACAGTCACTCTCTCTTGTGATGTTGTTATTGTTTCGGAGATTTTTAGTGTTTGGCGAACAAGAAGAAGAAATAATAAAAACACCACAATCACAATAAATATATAAAACTGTGTGAAACACGAAAATAAATGAAATAAATGAGAGAGAAAATAAATAAGAAAAATATCTCTGTGTTTGTTTTAATTTTTTGTTTGTTTAATAGTGTAGATTACACTGAATGTTGTTGGTATTTTTTCATGTAGTATGCCGAAGGCAACGGACGGACATGCGGTTAAGAAGCGACCGACGGCTTTTCTTTTTTATTTAATTATTAATCACAACACTTTTTTTCGCGGTATGTCACTTTTTGAAAATAAATTATGATGTGTACATACCTGTGTTGTTGTTAAATTAATATTTGAAAATAAG